AACAACTAAAGATATGTTCAATGGGAAGCCGATACAATAATATATAGAATGGTACAGGCTAAGGACTAGGCCCTTAATTCATAATCTATTTAGGAAACGTCCCTCCAGATACACACATCAAGGTTATAATGATGAAGATAAAATGATAAGAATATTATAGAACCATTTCCACTTTATTCACGACTCTTTAATTTTAGAAGCCTCAATAATCTATTTTCATCTGACTTGATGCAGCCTAGGGACATTGGTCATGCAGCTCAACTTATACGTTAAAGTTACAATTCAAGAAATTGGGACCTAATTGGGCAAGCATTAGAATCGCTGAAAATTTACGGCCCAGAAGCTACAGGGGATGAGGATGCATATTAGGAATTGGAGTTGAATGACGAGATGGAAGATAACGTACCACCAATATGACTCCCTTCTCGACCAGATGAGGGGCCAAATAATACACAACCCATCCCCCACACCGGTTCAACTAGATGAGCCTAGAGGGCAGTTACATCCTCGCGTGAAAAGACGAGAGGAGAGCTGCTCACAACAGGAAAGCAGTTCAAATACACAATTGCAATTGCCACAGTGGGGTCAGAATTTGCCAGTACAATGAAAGTGTTCATGATAATAGTGCTTATATTGTGTAAAGATGTCAATAATGCTTATACTGTTTTTTTTGTGAAAAGTGTGATATTTATGAAAAGTTAAAATATCAATATTTTTGATATTTGTATATTTGTGTAAAGAGACCAGTACATCGATGGCGCTCGATTTCTAAATCATTATCATCTTCATTCTGAACTACTTGCTCTGATTGTGTATCGATGTCGAAAAAACATTAGCAGAATGAGTGAGATTATTCCAACCCATAACATCTGCACTAAAAATATTATCAAATAATAAAATAAATTTCATTACAAACTTCTTACATAACGAATCTTGATGGACCATTATCAGGTATTGTTGGTAGTCGAGATTCGGTAGAGTCCGACTCAATATGTCTGTTTTATACATATATAGCAATGGGAGAAAACCCTTCCATCATATTTGCAATGTCGTCATCATTGTCAATGCATATCATATTCCTGTTATTTGGTAACCCTAGGTCACTATACTTAATAGACATGGTACTTGGGGCATAATTTGTTATTTTTGATAAGTGAGCTTTTATTTGGTCGAAGGATAGGATCCCCCTAAAAAATTTAACCCCGAGGTCCCCACCATCATAGAAAACATGTCTATCATTAGAATTCCTCTTGAAAGAACCACCAAAGTATAAAGTGATTTTCACCATGTCGTCACTCATTATTGGTGCGTGCAAGCCCAATCACTACTGGATCTCCAATTTAAGATGAAAACAAATATGAAATGAAATTTTTGGAATCAATAACGAAAGAAAGCTTTCAAAATATTCATATATAATGAGGAGGTTGCATTACAAAAGGATATTAGATTGTAATACATATGCAATAATATAAATACATATCTAAAACTTATTTATGAATTACAATGGCCAACCCAACTACATCAAGTACTGTAGAAAAAACAACATAATATTTATTAAAAAATAGTGTTTGCACATCCAAAGAAATATAGTAAAAAACTTGACCATTTTGATGACATACTTATAAAATGGTGTTGGTGTGTATATTTGATGTTCACGGGTTGAGAAATAGCTCTAGAGACCTCATTCAGAGATTGAGAAATACAAGAAGATAATAGAAAATAGATGAAAGATTAGAGAGGGAGGAGGATAAGGAAGAGAGAGAGAGAGAGAGAGAGAGAGAGAGAGAGAGAGAGAGAGAA